CTGAGGCACATGGGAAATAAGGAGGTGACTGGTGACAGCCAACATGGCTTCACTAAGGGCAAATCGTGCCTGACAAATTTGGTGTCCCCTTCAATGACAGGGTTACAGTGTTGGTAGATAAGGGAAGAGCAATTGACGTCACCTACCTGGACTTGTGCAAAGCATTTGACACTATCCCATACAACATCCTTGTGTCTAAATTGGAGAGACATGGATTTGATGGATGGACCACTTGGTGGATAAAGAATTGGCTGGATGGTCACAGTCAAAGAATTGCGGTCAGCAACTTCATGTCCAAGTGGAGACCAGTGATGAGTGGCATTCCTTAGGGGTCGGTACTGGGACCAGCGCCGATTAACATATTAGTTGGTGACATGGACAGTGGGATTGAGTGCACCCTCAGCAGGTTTGCTGACAACACCAAGCTGTGTGGTACAGTTGACACACTGGAGGTAAATGATGGCATCCAGAGGGACCTTGACAGGCTGGAGAGGTGGGCGTGCATGAACTGCACAAAGTTCAACAAGGTTAAGTGCAAGGTCCTGCACATGGGTTGGCGCAATCCAAAGCACAGCTACAGGCTGGGTGAGGAATGGATTGAAAGCAGCCCTGAGGAGAAGGACTTGGGGGTATTGATTGATGAGAAGCTCAACATGAGCTGGCAGTGTGGGCTTGCAGCCCAGAAAGCCAACCATGTCCCGGGCTGCATCAAAAGAGGTGTGACCAGCAGGTCAAGGGAGATGATTCTGCCCCTCTACTCCACTCTTGTGAGACCCCACCTGGAGTACCGCGTCAATCTCTGGGGTCCCCAACATAAGGACATGTACCTGTCGGAGCGAGTCCAGAGGAGGGCCATGAAGCTGATCAGAGGGCTGGAGCACCTCTCCTGTGAGGACAGGCTGAGAGAGTTGGGATTGTTCAGCCTGGCGAAAAGAAGGCTCCAGGGAGATCTAATTGCGGCTTACCAGTACCTGAAGGGAACCTGTAAGAAAGCTGAAGGGGGACTGTTTATCAGGGAGTGTAGTGATAGGAGAAGGGGCAATGGTCTTAAGCTAAAGGAGGGTCGATTTAGATTAGATATCAGGAAGAAATTCCTCTGTGTGAGGGTGGTGAGGCACTGGAACAGGTTGCCCAGAGAGGTTGTGGATGCCCCATCCCTGGAAGTGTTCAAGGCCAGGTTGGGTGGGGCTTCGGGCAACCTGGTCTCATGGAGGGTGTCCCTGCCCGTGGCAGGGCAGTTAGAACTAGATGGTCCTTAAGATTCCTTCCAACCCAAACCACTCTAACATTCTGTGATTTTATGAACAATCATAACAGTATTTCTTTACTATCTGGTCACACATTTGCATATTAGCTTCAGATTTTTAAATGCTGGAGAAAGATAAGAAGGGAAAAATAAGTCTGCTTTGCATCAGTTTTAGTCCTTTCTATGCTCTGATTACATTAACATCTCTAAATGGTGTAGAGGAGCATTTTATCCCTCTCTTCCTATTATATTTATATATGCATAACGGTTGACTACCTAGTCACTAGATCTCTCTGACTTTTCAGGAATTAGTGTAATCTCATATGCATCAAAGTTATTTGTTCTACTTGTAAATAGTAACGAAGTATTTGTTCTAATTGACCTGAATATACAACTATCGGAAGCATCATTATCAGTGAATGTGGTTCTTGCTGCTGAATTGTACTTCCATTAAATTTATATGGCTTCCCCTTCTCCCCCCACTAAAGACTGAATACAAATATTTCCCTGAATAAATAGAAAAATCCAACTAGTGACCAAAGAATAAGCCTTATCTTCAGAGACTGGAGTCTCATAAGTACCAAGTGCTATATAGACAGTCCAGAACAAATACTGATAGTATGAATGAACAATTTTTTGTTGTCATTTTTATAGCAGTTAAGCATAATACAATTTCCATATCACCATAAAGGTAGGCACAAATTCTAGGTAAATGAATCACAGTATTTTCTTAATAAATCAGAGGCACAATAGCCCCTTGACACAAGACATGTCCTTAATTTCTCTTACTCTTTTCACACTGACCTTTTTTTGCCACTGTTGTTTCAGGAAGGCTTTTATTTAGTCCCTAATATGCTTCATAATTTCAATTTTGGTCCATACGCCCAGGTTCTCTCAACAGCAGTAAGCTGAAGATCAGAACTATCTGCTTCCAGTGCATACAGGTATTCTGTTCTCAGAAAAACTTTGTTCAAGTGCTTCAGATCCTTTATATTTATTATAAGGCATGCATCTGCACAGCACAGCTTAACTCGTCATTTGTTCCCACTTGCTCACTACCTCTTCCCTTATTTTGATGAATAAGGAAGACTCATGGGTGCATTCTGAGAGTTGACTAGTAGCAGCAAATGGATTCTACCTTGCCCTTTTTCAAGTTTGAGCGAGTCCAATCCTTCATTTATCATTACTGTTTCTCTTCTATAGAGCATTAAAAGAGCAAAGTAGTTCTTAATACTAGATTATTACTGACAATAAACTTTCTCTCTTGGCTTTTTGCAGTTAGTTGGTTTTAGCTATATCTATCCAGGTTTGTTTCTTTTCACAGCAGCATTATAGATCTGTTGAACTCCACATGCTAAGATTTCTCCTGCAATGTGCACCTGAGCCTTGAATCCCAGTTTTTCTTCATGCATTCCAGTTACATCTACTCTCCATTTTCTCAGTTTTGATAGCATCTTTCATTCAAACTATCTTGCTGAACATTTAGTTGCTTTTTCCATCTTCCCACTGTTTCAAATAGATGACCCAATACTTTGATACCGTACACTCAAATGCCAACAACAACAAACAACATTCTGCTGCACTTACATGAAGTACATTACATTGCAGCCAGATTTTAAGTGCTACAGGGCATTACTCCACGTGATCAAGGAACTGCAAAGATAAGCAGTCACCTTAAGTTGTCTCTAACTTGTTACCCTTGCCAGCCATACGTACTCATTTACAATTTTAGCAAGAGGCATTTCTATATCAAAGGACAAGTCAGATTGCACAGCAGGAAACATTTAGACTTTACAACAGTTAAGCTGAGTAACAGAGCAGATAAGGTTTCTAAGTTTCATCACTCAGGTGCTGCTAGAGGTGAGTAAGGTTGCAGAAGAACTATCTTCTGAGTTAAAAAGAAAAGTAAAGCCCCACTAACTTGTAAAAATAGGAAGAGTGGGGAAGCCATAAAATCGAAATACAGAGTTGTTGAAAGCTACAGAATATGTCATCCAGTGTCTTCCTTCTCTTAAGTTAAATGAAATTGAAAGCAACAAACTGATCTAGAAGAACATATCTAAAAACACAACTACTGTTTCACGATAAATATTTAACTACCGTGCCAGACAGGGACTGGTTTTTGGCTTTTCACTTGTTCATTCAGGAGGAAGGCTAGTTTGGGGACATTAGTACAAGAACTTCATTAACAAAAGATAGAAGCACGGTCTGTTTTTTTTTCATGTAATTTGTTTTCTCACCATCCAGTAGTAACACTGATTTGCAACAGGCAGAACACAAAAACTGTTGCTGATGAGGTCATCTTCCTGAAGACACACACACACACACATATATATATTTTACTGGATCTTTCATGTGACTAGATCATTGGGCCAAGTTCCTCAAACTTTTATAACTCTGAGTGTTTTCTTTTCATAATCTTTTGCTTCTGTGTGACAAATCACATGAATGAAGCATTCTATCATAGTAAATAGTATGGGAGGTTTAACACACACAAAAAAAAGTAGTAATAATAATGTTCATCATCATCACACAAACACGTCCTTCCTATTAGGAAAGTTTTCAGAATGCTGAACTAGATTATCCTGTGCAAAAGAATGTTTTGATGAAACACTGATTTAATCCCCCCCCCCAAATTCTACCATTTCAGGTCAATTAAGTTCTCTCCATTGTTACATAACCTTCAGAACCTGATTGCTGGGGGTGGGGGGAAATCTACAGGACATGTACAAAATACACATCCTTTACGGCTTTATGGTGATGCTTGTTTCATAAAACATATTGAAAAATCCCTGTTAAAAAGTCTGTTAGGAAACTATCAAGGCAAGATATTTAAGGCCAGAAGAATATCTTTAGAAAGAAGAAACTACATGAGAAATTTCTCATGTAGAGATCATACAGAGGAGAACAGCAGCCTACAATTGAAGTCTTTCTCAACTGTTCACACGAAGTAATCAACTTACTGGTTTTTATATAAGAACTGTGGTGAGTTGACCCTGGCTGGAGGCCAGGTGCCCCCAAAGCCACTCTATCACTGCCCTCCTCAACTACACAGGGGAGAGAAAATATAACAAAAGGCTCGTGGGACAGGGAGAGATCACTCACCAATTACCATCACAGGCAAAACAGACTTGACTGGGGAACATGAATTTAATTTGTTACCAATCAAATCAGAGTAATGAGAAATAAAACAAATCTTAAAACACCTCCTCCCACCCCTCCCATCTTCCCGGGCTCAACTTTACTCCCAAATTCCTTACCTCCTCCCCCTCAGTGGCACAGGGGGATGGGGAATGGAGTTTGAGGTCAGTTCATCACATGTTGTCTCTGCTGCTCCTTCCTCCTCAGGGGGAGGACTCCTCACACTCTTCCCTTGCTCCAGCATGGGGTCCCTCCCATGGGAGACAGTCCTCCACCAACTTCTCCAACGTGAGTCCTTCCCACGGGCTGCAGTTCTTCATGAACTGGTCCAGCATGGGTTCTCTCTCCACAGGGTGCAGTCCTTCAGGAACAGACTGCTCCAGTCTGGGTCCCCCAAGGGTCACAAGTCCTGACAGCAAACCTGCTCCAGCATGGGCTTCCCATGGGGTCACAGCCTCCTTCAGACACATCCACCTGCTCTGACATGGGGTCCTCCACAGGCTGCAGGTGGATATCTACTCCACCGTTAACCTCCATAGCCAGCAGAGGGGCAGCCCGGCTGCAGGGAAATGCTTACCATGGTCATCTCCAGGCTGCAGGGGAATCTCTGCTCCAGTGCCTGTAGCACCTCCTCCCCCTCCTTCTTCACTGACCTGGGTGTCTGCAGAGTTGTTCCTCTCACATGTTCTCACTTCTCTCTTGGGCTGCAATTGCTCCTGGTGTTGCACAGGTGTTTCCCCCGCCCCGTCTTAACTCTGTTATCCCATTGGCAATACCAGTGTCGCTGATGGGCTTGGCATTAGACAGCGATTTATCCATCTTGGAGCCGGTTGGCATTAGCTCTATCGGACCTAGGGGAAGCTTCTAGCAGCTTCTCACAGAAGCTACCCGCTACCCCCCCCGCTACCAAAACCTTGCCACGCAAACCCAACACAAGACCCCACTTTAATTAAGAAAAGAAGTTTTGTATCAGATAACGTCAGATCATATTTACACGAAGCTGGTAGGTAAAGAGAAATACGTAATCTCGGTGGGTAAGGAAAGAAGATGACTATAACCACTTTTTGCATATGAATAAATTAAAATATTGTTCCAGCAGAACCAGATCAAATACAAACAGAACCAAAGGCTCTGCCAAATATACTACCATATTCTGCACAGCATACCAGTGTCTACCCAAGTACTGTCTAACAGCTGCCTAATTGTAAGTCACTGCTCCATTAACATATAATCTCCTTGTTTGATTTTTTGTTTTGTTTTTAAAAAATGAATTGTCCTTGAAATGAATTTTCTCTGAATCAAGCCATTCACTGAAAAACTAAATGGTAGATTTTCTAAAGGACGAAAAGTAATGCTCATGTATATTTAAATGCTAATAATTTTCATCAACAGTGACTTTGAAGGCTTGCCAAATAAGATTTGTTAAACATTTCTTTTCTTGCAATTAAATTATTTTTCTCAGCTCACAATGAAAAAACGCTACAATAAAAGCACTGTTGTAATGAAGATTTTCTTGAACTCAAATATAGTGTTACTTTCAGTCAGATATAAACACTTGTAACATCAGATTAGAAATTCATCAAAAGCATCTAGTGCATAAACACGTAACAAAACTAAAAAGGAGATAAAACCCATGAAAATAGGTGTGAAGTAGGTGTACAGTGTTTTATACCTTGTGTGTGATACAAACACTAGCAAATTAATTCTTACAAGACCCTTGCTAATATAGGGACAAATATACAAGTTGTTAAAGTGAATATTTTCTATTAAATAAACAAAATTGTTAGATTCAGGAGGGGCACTGTGATGATCTGCTCTAACTTGCATTCCAAACCTGTTTTTCCATTCCATTGGTATTTATGGTTTAGGACTTGGGATACTGAGCTGACTTGTTTCCTCTCTCTGGATAGATATTATCTTCATGTATCTTCTCTAAGATTTTACTTACTCACATTGTAAAAACATTCTCTACTAGAAATCAATAAAGGAACACTCCTGTTGCTTCTGAAACATTAAGCCCTCGAAGGCTTTTCCTACCACAGTGTTGTGAAATGGGAGTGGAGTGCTTTTGTTAGCCTGAATATACCATCATATTTTCATCAAACATGAGTTGACTGCAGACTAATATTGCATTTTGGGTAGAAATCAGCTATGAAAAAAAAAGGTAAAGGTGAATTACAGGAACTACTCCTTCAAGGCACTTCACTGAGGAGAAAGAAAAACACTTGATCTGTTTTGAAGCTGACAGGAAATAATAATACTCTGTGTGTAGAAGGTAAGAACCAATCACTTAATAATAACACATACTGCAACCCTGCCATAAAGCAAAAAAAAAAAAAAAACCCTAAGTTAAAATAAATTAAAATTAAGGTAAAATTTATACTTTGCTTAGGTAGTTACTCACAAGTGCTGTAACAAACTCTTCAAAAGTATCCTTTCACTGTCTGACAAAGCATTTCCTAACTGCAAATATAAGTCAAAGTAACCTTTCTAGCAACAAAAGTTTTTCTAAAATTATTTGTAACATCTACTGACAGATTGCCTGTTTTCTACAGTCCTGCCAGAATACTGATCTGATGTTACTGATGATTCTGATGCACTCAGATTAGGGTACTGATGAAAGAAGAATTCATCCTAAGAAATTGTCATAGAAAGAGATTAAAGGGAAAAAGAAGCCACAATTTATAGCTCCAAAAAAGAAACAAACTACAAAATAAATGCTATTGTTAGATTATTCCAACCATTAGTATGTTAATGTCCTCTTCAGGTTTTCCATTTTTTGTTTGCCACATATTTCTGGGGTTATCTCAGTATGAAATTCATGTTTTAGGAGTTTTCACAGCTCACTTCCTTACGTACATTTAACAGTCTTAACAACTGAAGGTTTCTCCTATTCGTGGTAGGACATTAAAAAAAAATTAAAATAAATGAAATTTAATTAATTTTCCCAAATTGAGTCAGCTTTGCCTGTGCCAATAACAGGTAAGTGATCTCCCTGTCTTTGACTTGATGCACAGGCTTTTCCATTTTATAAGAGAGTGGCTGGGTGGGCATCTGGCTGCCAGCCAATGTCAACTCATCACAAGTATATATTAATTCATGGATTCTTATATATCAATCTGTACATAACAAATATATTTGATACAGATATCTAAATAAGAGCAGAGATCATTCTATCTGTTTAGAACAGAAACAACTGATAAAGTTACCAGTGATGCAAGAGTGAATATACCATCTCTTTGCTCGATGGAAAGATGACATATTAAAATTGCAAGATACCATTGACATTTCAGTGCTTTATAAGAGTGATTAGTTTCTGTCCCTTGTAAATGCCTATAACTTACTCCTGCACTCTTCAGAAAGAAACTTTTTTCCCCCTATTTTATACACAAAAAACTTTCAGAATAATTTTAGTTTAAAGGGTAGTTACGGTGATACTGAAAGGCAGCCAAACTTATATAGCAGGCTTTACTTCCATTAGTACACAGCCCATAATGATAACATTAAAAGGTAAGTTGAGTTACTCAGTGCTATATTATTAGCAGAAGACACTAGACTGTATTATTGGTAGTCTTAACAGGTTTGTAATAATAAGATTCTATAAGCAGCACAGTTTGTAGCAACTTCTGTGTAAATCTTCCTCTAGAGGAGGAAAGTATGAGGACACTGGGCTCCACCTAATCCTTCAGGTAGCCAACCACAAGTTCTGTTCCTTATGCTGGGTAGGCTGTGGCACATCAAATACAGCACTAAACTAATTTATATTGCTGATTTGACCTTCTTGTTCGCATTTACTCTCTTTTCTGGTTTAAAATGTTTGAGACTTGGGTGGCACCATAACATTATAGGCCTTGATGGTTTTTCTTACAGAGTATACAGGAGAGGAAAAAAAGAAAAAAAAAAAATAGAGGAAACTATATTGACCTTTTCAAGACAAGTGCCAACAGAGATAGCATTCCCACAGAAGCGATTTATTTCTGAATAATCAAGTCTGGCAGGAGCTCTGGTGTGATGGGATCAGGCACTGCCATCTCCAATAAGATTAGGATGAAAATCTGTCCCAGTTGATATTAAAAGAGAGAGAGATCATGCAATCTTTCTCTCTTGACTTTACTAGATCTGTTCCCTTTGATATCTAGAAAAGAACGAAGAGTAAATTTCTAATTTTCCATGCCATTTCCCATTAACTGCAGTTATCTGCATATTGTTAAAATAATGAAGAATTTAGGAGTGGTTTCTCATCTATTTGATTTGCAATTTCTAATCCTCATTTGGACTTTAACACTTTAAACATAACAGTTATGTTAAAAAACCCAACAAAAAAACCCAAAAAAACCTCACCAAACATTCAGTGGACAGTTGGATCAAGCTAAATCAACTTATTAACAGGATATTTATAAACCCAGCACACTAATTATAAAGCATGTATTTCAGAAAACTACTACCTTTCTTATATTTTGCAAACATGAAACAAATTATCATTTTGCATTTAAATGCTTTGAAAGATTTCTTTTTTGTTAGAGGTTGCTTTCTTAGTACATTCCATACAACCTCCTAAGTCTTGGAATCACCTTTGGTAAATGACTTCAAGTACCTGAAGAATGATTTTAAGCAACACGGAGCTGGTTGTCTCGAGTTATCCTGAACGCATAGCCCACATTAAGATGTAACTACTACAGTCTCTCTACATTACACTTATTTTCAGACTTCCACCAACCTATTGATTTATCTTCTCCACACCAGCACTCTTCAAAGTATCCCCACAAACTAAGTACATTTCTTATAGGAGTTTCATTACTTTTCTCCCTTCTATAAGTGACAAGACCAAGCATTTGAATATAAAAACTTAACGTATTTCAGCAGTGTAAGTCTTAAACATAGTAGCTTGAAGCTACTCCAAGCAAACAGGCACTCTTACATCCATGATTAAGAACCTAATAAATGTCCTACTGGGTCTGAACAGTGATCCCTCTAGCCAAGCACTCTCTCTAAGAGCTACAGTAGGAGATGTTACTTAAGAAGACACTATGCCAGCCCTATCACTATTTATAATCCATTCTCCTCACTTCCCAAAAGAGGAAGCTCCTCTTCCTACCAATAGATCCTTTCCTATTTCTTTTGGACCTATTACCCCTGAATTTGTCTA